CGAACTACTACAAATTTTAACGCCATGTTCAAGGTCACGCATTAAAACGCTGATAGACGAGGATCAAGCTCATAGAAGTGGGAGATAATATAGGGAATAAATATACTTTACCCATAGCCATAAATACAAAACTACGATATTGGAAACTGAAATGTATTTCAAAAATGAGAGTGATGCTGCACGAGCGTGATCAACACCTGTACATACACATCATACATATATATATATATATATATATATATATATATTACACCTGCTTGAGAAAAAGCATGGTGCCGATGCAAAACAATGATAACAGAGTTATGGAGGGGTGAAAAAAAGAGTAAATGAAAAAGGGCAAAACAGAGAATACCGGGAACGAATGCCTCGTTGTTATAGTAGCACCGCGCACTTTTCGAGGATGTTATGGGGGACGGGGTTTGGCCAAAGAAACCGGACAGCAATCGCGCCAATGACATCTATTCTGAGCCATATCTCCGTGTCTCTAGCCATAGATATATAAAGCCGGCACAAGCGTGGCAGCCCCAGCCAATAAGGTGCTGTCCCGTCCACGTTCCGCTGGCCGACAGATTGCATTCCGCCAGAAGTAAAGGATGAATTCTACAAGGACCTGTCTCAACTGCTCTCAAGTGCTCGGTTAACGGACGTCGTAGCAGTCGCCGGAGACTTCAATGCTCAAGTGGGATCCCTGGACGAATCAGAAAAGCTTCTTGGCGGACCGCATGCAATCCCAGCCAACCTGACGGAAAACGGAGATCGCCTACTTCAACGCTGCGCGAACCACAGATTGTTCTTGTCAAACACTAAATTCTCACACTAAAAACGTCACCGTCTTACATAGAGACTGCTAACTTCTTCACAATGCCGGACCCAGATCGTCCACATTCCCATCAGATATCGATAAAAACAACATCGTACCCTGGCGCAAGTTCAAAACAAAAACGATGGATCTCGTCGACCTCAGCTTCCCTGCTGGACGCCCGCAGAACCCCGCCTCCGGATGCTATATATGACAGTTCACAAATCCCTCAAACGCCAGCTCATCAAAAGTCTGAGGAATGACCGCGAGAAGTGGTCGGTAGAGAAATGTAGAGAGATGGAGAAGGCTTCGGCTATCAGCAATAGTCGCAATCTTTTCCGTCTAATTAGGAATACAGGCCCCAGGAAAGTAGGCGTAAGAGAGGTAATTAAGGAATCCAATGACACTAATTCACGTTAAGCAACGCCGTCTTGATCGATGGGCCAAACAATTCAAGGCTCAGTTTCACCGGCCCTTGCTGTCACAAGACCTCCTTACACCCGATTCAACTGTGTAAATACTGCCAGTTGACATCAGTGCTCCATCCGAAATAGAGGTTACCCGAGAAATAAGCTATCGAAAAAGCTATAAGGCTATAAGGCCCCGACGGGCTGTCCCCATCGGTTTTTAAGGATGTAGGTTCAGCCTTGGTTTTGGAGTTAACAAAACTCCTGAGCTCAGTGTGGGAAAAGGAACAGGTTCCAACTGCATGGTGTGAATCGGTGATCATACCGATTTACAAGAAGGACTACTTGTGAAAATCACAGAGGAATTAGTCTAATCAACATTGCCTCTAAACTGCTCGCCGGCATTATACTGCGTCGATTATCTGCCGCTCGTGAAGAGTGCACACGTGAGAACCAGGCTGGTTTTAGACCTGGTCGAGGTTGTATGGACCACCTCTTTGCTCTTCGTCAAATCCTAGAAGACAGACACTTTTCGTAGACCCACCATTTCCATCTTCCTCGACCTGAAAGCGGCTTTTGACTCAGTCGACCGCTCTAAACTCTGGCGCTGCCTTTCCTTGAAGGGTGTACCCGAGAAGTTTATTTCAATATTACGATCGCTTTATACTAATAGCAGGAGTCCAGTCCGAGCTTACGGCACATTTTCACCCAAGTTCACCACGGAAAGTGGTGTTCGACGGGGTTGCCCTCTCGCTCCTTTTCTATTTAACTTTGTCATATAATTAATTATTGAAACGTCCCTATCTTCGTGCGGGGATAGCGGTATCGATTTACTCCCAGGTGGCAGACTGTCTGATCTAGAGTATGCAGACAACATCGTGCTACCAAGTGAGGATGCAGGTAAGTTGCGAGCTTCTCTGGATAGTTCAAGTGCTAGTGTAGCGATGTTCGGTATGCG